CATTTGCTGTTATAATATTTGACTTGCATAGATCTTGTGGTCCTTAGAACATTTATAATCATTTCTGGTTTGCCAAGTTTCAGGGAAAGAGTGGTTTTACCTAAGAGGCCAAGTTAACAAGAAATCAGAAACTTAGCTTTAAAGCAGGTGCCCTATTCACAAGACCCAAAGAGAGTCTCTTAGGCAAATAATGGCATTAAACACCATTTCACTTACATATTATGCTTTATCTATAAACGTAACTTTATGTTTGCAAATGTGCCAGTAAACTTTACAGATGTTTTTTGAGGTAGGCAAGGATTGGACTGTACTCTGCGGAGGTTGGTTTTTGTCCTATGCTGGGGACTGTAAAAGCAAAAGGGTTTATCACTGGGGATTTACCATTTGCCACCGTTGTTTAAAGGTGATTGAGACTGAGAGAGAATGACACATTCCCAGCCCTTCCTCTCCTCTGCCAATACAGATTGTAACAAAATGCAGCCATATCTAGGGTGGAACAATGCAGCTGTTCAAAGGCCACCAGCAACTGTACAAGTGCAGCAAGTCTTCAGTTCACAACAGGGAACAGAGATTAATATTCAGTTAAATGAATTTGCAGAGGAATTCAGACAGACAGGCTATAATTTTGTGAACTGGAATTTCAGCAGGGTGCTCAGATTTACAGCTTTACATCTTTAAAATATTTGGGAAACTTTAATGAGTGTGAGGGGTCAGGACCTCTTTGCATATGGTATGCTGCGAGCAGCCTGAGGTAGAACTGTGTTTTCCATCACTATGGAGCGAGATGTCCTCAGTCAGATAGGGAGTAAAGGAGGATCTCTTTTGTGATCTGTGTGCTCAACAACTCTTATGTCCCTGTGGCCCCTCTGTTTGGCCAGGCTTGATTTTGGGTCTAGGTACTCTGACTAATCAACTGCTTCATTATTGTCTGATCATGGGAGGGAAAAAAAAAAAAGAAAAAAAGTTAGTTTGTCCTTTAATGTGAAATAGGACTAATGTGGATAGTCACTATCACAGGAAGTATCTAATTAAGACCAATTATTTAAGAGAAAATTATGTACCAATAACTGTATGCCTGTATGTATATAAGTAACTGTATGCATATAAGATTTTAACATCGCCTGTGTTATTTCCCCCAAATAACAGCAGCTACATCAGCCTCGTATTCTAAAATCCCTTTTCTGCCTCTGCTTTTGTTTTATATAGGCCAGTCATTAAAGGGTGTACTTTCAGTAATATTTTCTAAATGCTACTGAAGTTGTTTAACTGAGAGATCAGTATTCACTTCTATTGTGACCCTATTTGTGATTATGAGGTGCCTAGTTTGTTATATGAGAAATGCTACAAGTCAAAGTACTGATGTGTTTCTTCTTTCAGTAGGGAGCTGTTTCCTGAAATACTAATCTTTCCTCTTTTTCACATTTTTTGGTCTGACCTCAGTCACACTTTTTTTTTTTTAAAAAAAAAAAAACAACCCAAACAAGATCCCTTCAATTGCTTTTTAAAAAAAAAAAAAAAAAAAAAAAATAAAAAAAAAAAAAAAGTTGCCTTTTCTTTTGTTTTAACAAAATTGTAAATTTTCATTTCCATTTTACTTCTAAAGTAAAACACTTCACAGTAAACTGCTGTCCATAACTATACAGAAAACAAAACATTAAAGTCTTTTGTGATTTATTGTAAGCAACATAGGAAAAGAACATGTAAGCACCTTTTAGGAGTTTTAGATGCTATGCAAAAATAAACCTGTTGTTATGTCTGCAGAACATACACATGAAATTAAGAGAAAGCTGGTACCACTATCACCACCAAAAAAAAAGCCTTTGGATATGTAGAACTTTGGGAGTTTTATGAGCCATTCCTTGTGATAAAACACTTTTCTTAAAGAACATACTTGAGATTGTCTTCATCCTGCCTTAAGGAAAGGGTTTAGAATATATTTTGATAGAAAAGAAATGATACAACACTAAACTGCAGATGTTAACTGAACAGCTGTATATTAACACAATAAATGTTAACTGTGTTACTGTAGCTATCACCCGGAGAGATACATGTCTGTATCTCCAATGCATCATATAGTTCTCATTCTTCTTGGCAGCTTCAGCTAAGGACATTTTTTAAAGACATCCTCTAAATGGGAAGATTAGGTTAGGATTTAGGTTTCGCTGAATCATACATTGTCTTAATGCAGTGTGTTATAACATAGAGACATGGAGTCTGTTTGCCCATGAGGGGCTTTTCTTGGCTGCTGGTAGTAATTTCAGGGAACAGATCAGTCTCAAATGATTAAAGTCATCGGGGGGGAGGGGGAAGTAAAAAAAGAAAAAAAAATATTGCTCACTGAAGGATCGGAGTTAGTCTTCTAGAGTACTCTTGTTGATTCTGTAACCAATATCTCCTATAGTGATGGAAGACTGTTTTCTTTATTTCAGATCTGTTAGAAAAAAATATAATGAGAACTTTAAATTCAAGGTTTTGGAAGCAGAGAATTTGCTATTTTTTTTTATCAGAATGAAAAAGAAAAGCATCTAGATTTAGAAAAATTATTCTCTTTACTTTAATTGTGATAACTCTAAATTAGATCTCAAGTATCTGAAATCATATTCTTTTTCAATAGCATTGGTTACGTAGGTACAACTTGAGGATGAACTGATTTTAAAGAAACCTACAAAAACCTTCAACACCTTTGTAGGTTAAAAACCTACAAAACCTTCAGCACCTATAGAGAAGAAAAATCTGACTCAGATTTTATGATAGAGTTTAATTAAAATGATTTAACTAAAATGAAGTGACACCAGTTTAGCAATCCTGCAGTGTCATTTTTTTTATGAAATTACTTTCCGGATCAGTAATGCACTTAAATCTTTAATGATGTTTCCACATTTCTGAAATAGAAGACCTTAAATTACTTTTAATATTTACAAGTGGAAACTGTAGATGAGTATTATTTGTAGCTTCAGAATGTCAAGATCATGGCAAACTGGATGCCTTTTGTCTCAGCATTCCATGCAGATGGAAGGAAAGCTGTGTTCTCCAGAAAAGAGGCATCCTGAGTCATCCTGAAGCAGGGGAAGAACTGACCATAGCATTGCTTCTCCTTGCTATCTCTTGCTGATCAACTTAACTAAAGCTGATTTCACAGAGGAGAAATCTGATAGTAAGTATTCAGTGGCAAAGTAAGTGCAATGCTCTTCTGTGCTGAATTATCCACAGCTGCTTACTGTTAATAGCTGCAGGCTAGACACAACAGGGCTGGTAGTACAAGAGAGCCTGTCTCCACGGCAAAATAGGGGACATCCAAACTTAACATCATTATTTTCCTCTCAGTAGCTTGAGATTTCAAAAGAATTTTGCATAAGGTAATTATATGTGTCCATATTACCAGCAAAAGAGGGAGGGACGACTGGTGAAATGGCAGCATAGCGGTGCTGAAAGGCACTGTTTTGCATCCTGCTTATGGAAGAGTCACCGATACTCTGGAGCCAAAACCATATGCAGATGATGATTGCCACCTCCTGGTCTACATTTCCATTCTGGTTAGACAGATTGAGAGATCGGAAAGTTTCAGCAGATTTTTATTGACATGTCCAATAGTCTTGGTTCCAGTAATGGCTAGAGAATCGCTTCTGTCATTCAGTAGTGTATGAAGACAGGTCAAGACTTATTCTTGTCACTTTGTGTTGCCTCTTGAGGCTTCAGTCAATTCATTCATGGCAACGATACTCCTGTAGACTTCTTTTGACATCTATTTCAAAGGCACTGGATGTTTTTTCATAATTCTTTTGTATAGTAATAAATGTTTTTGACAGTCTTGCCCTGACATGTTACTGAGATTTAGCTGCATGTAAAACTGTTCAGCCCCCAAATCTGCCTTTCAAAAGCTTTACTGGGGCTGTAGAACAAGCATTCAAAGGATGAGAAAGCCAGTAGACCCTGAATTCCAGGTGCATCTGAATTGTGAAGCTGCCTTTAGCAGAATGAGGTGTTGGGTTTGTTGGTCTTCCCTTTCCTCTCCTCTCACCTCTTCCCCTCCCTTTCCTTTTTTCTTTTTGTCTGTCTGCCTTTTGTTACTCTTAACCCCACAAAAAATATTTTTTAACTTGGACCAACACATCTCTCTCATTTACTCTCATGTTTCTAATTTGTTAATTAGAAAAACATTTCTTTTATCCTGCAACCAAGGCAGGAACTGAAACTGGGGTAGGAAAATATGTGATGTTCCTATATTGCATTTTACTCTAGATATCCAGGTGGCATAATTTCTTGTATATGCGTGTAATGTCAGAGATATATGTTTTAAAAGCATCTGAGAACAAGTATAAGGTTCACTCCAGAAGTAATGCCTCCTGTTTTATGTTGCTGGCCCACAGCATCAGAGGCAGATGGTGGTGGTGTGGCAGTAGAGGCTGAACGTTCCCAACAGTACTCCATTACATCTTGTTGCTGTGTGACAGATGGCAGCAGAGGGGCAGTCTGACAAAATGGTGTCTGACATGGAAGCGCATATGAAGCCAAGGCGTGTCACTGAATTTCTCCATAAGGAAACAGTGGCACTCAGTGATACTTAGTGACCCTTGCTGAATGTTTGTGGAGACCAAACAGTGGATGTGAGCCCGGTGTGGGGCCCGGCGTTTCAGCTCAGAAGTGGCAACAAAAGCAGTGTAGCTGAAAATTTGCTCTATCAAATAGTGTTACTGCGGTCTTTGTGTCTGCTGTAGTTTCAATGGAAATAAGCAGGAGGCATTACTTTCGGAACGACCTCCCTATCACACTTCTAGGACTTCACTTCGGGTCGGAAGGGCCCCTTCCCGATGTTCCTCAAAGCCGGCAGCTCGCGGCCAGGCCCCGCCTCAGGCCGGCAGACGCGACAAAAAAAAAAAGTCATGAAACGTGAGGTGGGCGCCCTTTCCCGGCGTTTCCCTCCCAGCCGCTAAGGGCATGGCGTCGCTGCGGGCACTGCGCAGGCGCTGCCGGGCGCGCTCTCGAGTAGGGGGGGGCCGCGTGGCGGTGGCGCGCGGCGGGCTCAGACGTGGCACTCTGGTGAGCTGGTGGCGCGCGCTCTATCGGGTGAGGGCTGCGCACCGCGCCCAGGTAACGCCTGTCCCGGCTCGCGGCCGTTGCTTTTTGCTGGGGGCAAGGGAGGGAAGATCGTGGCTGCGCCCCGTGTGGGGAGCAGCGGATGCTTCGTACCGGTGCCGGGGTGCTTAGGGGTCGCCCTGCGAGCTGGCCCGAGGGCGGGAGGTCGGGGGAGCTTCTGGCAGACCGTGTGTGGGGGCACGGCGGGCGGGCGTCTCTCACTCTGGGCTCGGAGCAGCACCTGGTACAGCGCTGACTGACGTGCGGCCTCAGGTAATGGGGAGACAGGTGCTAACTGAGTGCCGTTTGGGCACGGAGCTGGGGTCAGTGATGCCTTCTGCTTTCTCTTTCCAGAATGTATGTTATAAAAAGTAAGCGCAGTGCATGTAGCTGTCCTCCTTTTATACGTCTGTATGTGTACAGGTATGCGTAGCAAACGTTATTTGCAAAAATGATGTTGTAGAGTGCCCTGGGGAGGAGCAGTACCTCTTTCCAGATATTACATTGCCAAGCACAGCATCTTGAAAATAATATGAAGTTAACAGATCCCCTGCAGGTAGCTGAGATCATGATGCTACGTGTACTTAATGTAGTGTTACATCTTCATAGTGGTATTGGTGCAGCAGAGCATTGCGTAAATAGAGCAACCCTCTGGATAAAAAGATGACAACCAGTCTTCTAGTAGCAGTTTGTTGTGAGAAGTGTTTGTTTTAGTGGTGTATAGGCCTGGGGGAACAAAGTAAACTGGGGCTAAGAGAGACAAGAACTTTTGTCCTGTGCACTGATACTTGTAGTGAATAAACCCAGCGAGAGCTTTCAGTTTAGCAGATTCTCTGATCTTTCTTGTTTGATTTCCAGACAGAATCTGTATGTCTCTTGTTAGAACTTGATAAAACTTAGGCAGTCAGTTCTTGATATCATAGGTGTTGCTGAAGCTAGTTACATCTTGAGTTTCTCTATGTCCGTATCTTTGGAAGTGATTAAATGTGCTTGCTTGTAAATAGAATCTGGAACTGTGCTCTATAAGCTTTTTTTATGTTTGGTTGCTGCCTCTCGTCAGCACAGCCTGCATGTGTTTATGCTGTCTGTGGGAAGTTCGACGTGGCAAGATTTTGTGTGAGTAAGCAGTGGAGGAAGTCGTTTCCCCTGGATGTTGTCATAGCTGAAGGTGTTGGCTGTTGCTCAGTGTGAAAATCTCTTTATAGGTTTAAAATATGTATATGTTTACACCACTGTGTAGGTAATTTAGTACTAATTTATTGTCTTTTGGAGTAACTAAAACACACTTCTTCTCAGATGGGGGTGGGGAAAGGAAAAAAAGTATGGCTGACAGCAAGAAGCCTCTCTGTATAAACATATTCATTTTTTTTCTTCTTCCTATTCTTATCTTACCTTCTTAACTAAGAAATAGGAGGCAGTCCCCCAGGCTTACCCATCCAAAGCAACTTAGTGCCATGCTGACAAGTGAGACTTAGTACTATGGCCAGGTTGTGAGGAGGGTACCCAGCTCAAAGTGATTTCTTGTCTGATGGGTAAGATTAGTAGAACCTTTTTTTTTTTTTTTTTTTTCCCTCCAGTATGGTTAATCAGAGATTCCAAGAGATGGGTTTTCTGTCTACTTTTTGTCTACTTTTTGTCTACTGCCATGTGATAGCACAGCTTGAATATGTTGTGATCTTGGAGGTGTATCTAATTCTGAAGTGCCTTCATACATGCTTCTGAAACACAACTCCTTAAGGTGTTTGCGTGCTCTGAGACCACCCCATTCTGCAACTCAGAAAACATGAAATACAGATGGTTGGGAAAGCTATATGAAAAGAATGTTTAACATCTGAAATACTAGTTTATTTAATTGATCTCTAGTTCTCCTGTGTACTTGGGTTTTTACGGAAGTACTTCACTGGGTCAGATCCTAATCAGTTGTCAAAACAGTTTTAAATTAGGCGTAAATAAAATCAGTGGAATTCTGTTGCTTTTGTGGTTTGGTTGGTTTTTGTTTGTTTGTTTGTTTTGTTGTTTTTAATTCAACATGAAATCAAAGTAAATTCTTTTATCTGGTAAAGTGGAAGTTAGCAGTCAAGACTTCATTGGATATTACCTCAGTAATTTTTTAAAACCTTTGATGGAAAATGCTCTGTATTTGAAAACTGATCATGTGAAATAGAATCATCTGGTTTAGCATTCATCAGCTTTCCCTGTTTTTGAAAGCTTTCTGAAAGTATCTTTTAGAACAAATCTCATGGTGGGAAAATATGTTAATCAATTGTTTGTTCTCCCTTTCTCTGAAAACAACAAAATCAAGATATGAAAGCTTAGGAAAAAGGTGCATGGAAGCAGCAAGGGCAACATATGATACTGTTGAGGCCATAACAGTTTCACTGTGGAATACTTTGTCATCTAAGACAGGTCTGCTGGGATAGGAGACAGATTGACTAGAGGAATTTGGTAGTCCAGTTACTCTGCTTTTTTTGATGTTCCAATCTGTTCTTTGGAATAATTAGTATTTAGAGTATTAGACTTACCGTCTTTTTTTTTTTTTTTTTTTTTTTTGGTTGTATTAGAAGTTTAGATTTTCCTGTTAAAGGGAACAGTTTTAGACTTTTCTTTTTACTTTTCTTCCACATACGCGTCCTTAGAGTTTTTCTCTCCATGGGCCAGGGAGAGGTTAATCTTGTTCAGATAATTTCAGTGATTTGTTTAAGTTCACATTGTTGAGGAAACTAAGCAACCTGACAAACGAGAGGATTGTTTATCTTGCTAGGTCAATTTTTACCTTCTAATGTGTCTTCTGTCTTTTTGGGAATGTAATTCTCAGCCTTCTAAAATATTCCAAAGAATGAAGAGTAATAGCAGGTGTCACTTTCTTTTTTGCAGATTCCTGAAGAGTACTCCAAACTTGGAATGAGAATATTGCCATCATGAGTCAACAGGGTTATGTTACAGCTCCTCCATATTCCCAATCCCAGCCAAGAATGGGAGGCTTTTCTGCAGGTTTTGGACCACCTAATTCTTCACTTCATTATGGGCATTATGGAGACCCGAACTCCTCACATGCAGCAGCACCTCAACCAGGTACATAACTGTCTTAGAATGTCTCTTCAGACTGTACATTTCTGTGGTGTTTTGTGTCTCTTCATCTTACTTAGGTCAGCACACTGCTCAGTTTTACACTGCTAGTGTAACAGGCTCTTGTGCTACATTTGCCTGCATTGTTGTTGTTCAAATGCTAATATAAGGTGCCTGGTAGTGGAACTCTGACCCTTGTGTGTGAACTCTTGTCCAAGAAGCAGTGTGTAGCAGTGCTGTGGTTAACTCCTAGTACGGAAAAGTAGAAAGAAGTGATTTCTGGAAATAGAGCAGCAATTCTGAACTGATATGTTAATGGCAAGCAGGCTCTCAGAAATATGTTGTATTTTTCGCAGTAGGACCTGTGCCCAACCAAGTTCTTGAGCACAAACTTGCCTATGAATACAAGTTGATATTTTCCTACTTAGTCTTGCATGCTTGGTGATGTGCTTGGATAATGTATGGTAAGTGGAGCCCATCTGCTTTCTAACCACTTAGGGGACAATTACTTTCTACTGGGAGGGGAATTGGGTAGCTTTTACAAGTAAATGGGTTCTTTTTATCTCTACCAATGTAATTGTGCTGCAGATGATGTAGTTGATGGCCAGAAGGTAAACCTATTATCATCTGTCCTTCACGCAACATTAATTTCTCTTGTTATCCATATGGTATTGCGGAAGAAAATTACAATTAAAACAATAAAAAAGACTGAATAATTTTTTAATACCAGACATATGGTGATACTTAAATTAAACTCAACGTAAGTTGTGTACTGTTGGAATACAGTAATAACAGAACTAAAGATCCACTATATTAAATAGTGTGGTCTGCTTGATTTTTGTGGTATCATTAAATTACAGAAAAAGCTTTATCCGGTTTCTCTAAAAATTCTTATTAAAACCAGCAGGAGTTGTGACTCTAGCCCAATGCTGAATACAGTCAGAATTACTTCTGACAATAACATAAATTATAATAAGTTGATGTTCAAGTTCTGAATTACGAAAGAGGGTTATAGCACCTTTTTAGCATAGTTTTACTGGATCTGCATATGGAGGCGTTTTTTAAAGGCTGTTCCAAGCAGTCTTATTGGCAAAAGTCTTTTAAAGCAAAGGGGCCTCTTGCTTTCTCTGCAAAGGTAACGGGGTAATAGGGAATTTCCAGTAACCCAAAGTGAATCAAAGGGTCTGTTCCTCCATCTTTACTTCCTTCTTACTGTCCCCCTTGTGTTCTTTTTTTGGAAATTTAGCAACTGCTATATAGTTGCTTTTTACTGTCCCTTTTCATGTCTGCTTCTGTAGCTGATAAAAAATCTGCCTATTCTTACAGAATTAGAAGATGGCTGAGTTTGGAAAGAGCCTCTTGAGGTTATCTTGTCTGATCACACTTGCACATGCAGGGCCACCTATAGCTGATATTCTCATTGCCAGATCAGGGCTGTACACTTGTATTTCTTGGTGATCTTGTGCATTTTTTACAGGATTCTTCCATAAAAGTACTTCTTGTTTGGCAGGTATGTCGAAATCAACTGTGCCTCTTGGATCTTCAACTCCTCTTGGGCCTCTACCACCTGGTACACATCAAGTCAGCCAGAACAACTTCCAAAGTGCAGCAGGACAACAGCCACATAGGTGACTTTCAAGAATTAGTACATGAGATTTGTTTGACCTCTGTTTCCTCTCTTTGGCTGCTTCACTGCCATTTAGGTATGGCACCTCTTTTATATTTGGCAGTTCTTACTCATTCTGCTTCTGAACTGGATCTCGTAGTTTAGTTCCTGTGATGTTAAGATGCCTGATCATAGATTATAACCCATAATTCCATTAATTCAGTTTTTAAAAGTCAGAGAAAGTCATGTCTTTATCATGAGTTGCTTTTTATTTTCAATTATTTTTCATCCTTCAACTTTCGATTTATTGTCCATAAGCAGCAGTAAGATGTTATGATTATTACTATTTTTTTTAATATGTAGAAGCTGCTTTTTTTGTCATTTTTTGGTGTCTTAATTCTCCTTTGTTGTGAGGCACCAGAAAGTTTGTAAAAAATTAATAGTTGTCAGTGAGTTTGGACCAGAGTCTGGTACATAGGATCATAGAATTGCTCAGATTGGAAAAGCCCCTCAAAATCATCAAGTCCAACTGCAACCTGACCATACTACCTAACTCTAACAACCCTCCACTTCATCATGTCCCTGAGCACCACATCCAAACGATTTTAAACACATCCAGGGATGGTGCCTCAACCACCTCCCTGAGAGCCTATTTCAGTGCTTAACAACTCTTTAAGATTTTCCTGATATCCAACCTAAACTTACCGTGGTGCAACTTGAGACCATTTCCCCTCGTCCTGTCACCTGTCACCAGTGAGAAGAGACCAACCCCGCTCTCGCTGTAATCATGTCTGTATAGCTGTAGGTTTTTCCCCCCTTTTTAGGGTATCTTTGCTTCATTGTTGTGGGAGCTCCGCTGAAGTTCTGCAGGTTACTTTAAAGACATTTTATAATACAGGTTTGCCTTTCAAGTTAATGACTGTTGCTTTTTTGCTCAGGCCTGAGATTAATGACAATGCTTTAAGTGTTGTTTTCCTATCTCCAGAGCTTACAGAAAGAAATGTAGAAGACAGGAGTGGGTAAAGGGAGAATGCTAGGGACAGTGGGGGCTATAAAAATTGTGGTATGAGGAGTTGAAGAGATTGGGTGGATAAGCTTGATTACAAAATGTATGTCTTTCAGAGGGTTCTAAGTGGGTGAGCTAATTGTTTGAACTCCTGCTCTACTTCTGTATTTTTTTAGCTGTGACATAGTTACTTGTGTTTAAGTAAAGGCACGTGTGTTTCATGAGGCGTATAAATGTGAAAGCTTGTTTGTGTGTTATCACTGTGTGAAAAGGACCTGCAGAGACTGGTGATCCATTGTAAAAGACAATGTACTAATGAACAGGGAGAAGTGTCTGTTGTTCTGAAGACCTGAAAACAAGGAAGAGAGAATCAAGTTGACACGACCAGCCCAGAAAAATGCTGATTCTTTCCTATTTTCCTTCCAGTCATTGTTCTGAAGCTTTTAATTTTTCTTCTTTTACCCAGATCTTGTTTAATTCACAGATTGCTGAGTGGTGTTCTTCTGGCAAAGGGAATATCCACATCGAAGTTTTCTTTTGATATACCTAGGACGTCCGCACCTCAGTTTTAGAAATGGTTGTAGGTAAAACTGTAGAGAGAGAGCCTGAAATCTCATTTGTCCAGAATAAAGCAGCATCACGTGTATTGCCTCCTCCTTTTCTTCAGTACCTCATTTTTTCCCATGTCTGATAACCGTGCAGCAGGTTTTCCCACCTGCACCTTCCTTTTCTCTCTACAGCAGGGAACTCCTTAGCGGTTTCTCTGTTAATTGCTCTCTCTTTGCAGAGATACTGAATATGTGTTTTCTGAGTAGACTTCATTCATCCTCAGGAAGGAAGTTTCCTTTCTATGAAGGGGTGAAGAGAGAGTGTTCAGAAACTTAAGTTCCTTACTTTTCAAGTTTTCATACAGTTGTTCTCTCCTCCATTGAATATCACAGAATCACAGAATCACAGAATCACCCGGGTTGGAAGGGACCTCAAGGATCATGTAGTTCCAACCCCGCTGCCTAGCAGGGCCACCAAACACACACATTCAGATCAGGTTGCCCAGGACCCCGTCCAACCTGGCCTTAAACACATCCA